GAGATCTTATAAAATAGGAATGATGTCACATATGGCGCGTGTCATTGGTTGAAGGCAATCGTTCGATTTAGTGCGGCGACGTACGCTAGGGGGAGCGATGTAATAAAATCGAGTGGGCAAAATGTACAGAGGATTCATGGTTTACCAGGTTTACCTCCGGAGCTTCGCCCACTCATCATAATTCACTTCGTGGATATGGCGGAATTTTTTTTCCAGTGCGCGTTCGTGTAAACCGCTGTACTTATGTACGTACGTATGATTACATATACGCTAATAATTACCAGTATACTTTCACCTGCAGACCCGATTATCGCCGATAAAATGAGATCAATTTAAAGTTAGCATTGACGTCGCGTTTTCAACTTTTCCTCACTTTTTTTCCTCAGTTTTTTTTTGCACTTTTCGAGATAAGTGATTTGTCTACAGGCCAAGACTCGAAATGCAAGAAAATTATACTCTCAAACAATATGGAGCAGCTGTTGCTCCCCCTTGAGGAAATAGAGCGTTCTTGCCGGAACGTTGCTTACAAGGACATTCCGCGCGTGGGGTGATACCAATCTGATTGGGTGATGACCAATTCACTGATACCAATCGTTAAGTGCCGCGTGTTCGGGAACGCGTGACACAGCCCCGAATTCGCTGCCATGCAAACCGTTTGCGAAATGAAATGTACTTTGCGCATACCTCACTAGAATATACAACTTACTTGCATGACTTCTTTTTAAAACGGCAAGTTTCTTTTTTTTAATCCAGTACTTCACATCTGTTCCTCACGTCAATTTCAATCTGCTTTAAATTGAAGGTCAGATAGGAGCTTGTACAGCTGTGTGAGTTCTTATCTGCGTTGCACCACCACGGACGCTGCAGCCCCCACGCATCAAGTGCTCAGACCCCAGCTGAACATGTGATAATGTTCTGTAGATGGCTGCAGCTGACACTTCGAAGCAACGGGGCCAAATTTATGAAAAGTGTGGGGTTTCGAATTTTTTTGTTGGGCAAGTCGGTTGAGAATGTCATTCATTGTGTACAGGGGTATCAACGCAAACAGACCATCTCAGGAGAAACTACACATACACGCGAGCGCTGTCTGCACTTGCGGCTTACATTGCGGGTGTCTGTTCGCGCTCGTACTTCCTTGTTCCATGGGTCTTAGAGCCGGTGAAGATCGGGGCTTTACGTCCCAAAACCAGGATAATATTGCTACATGCATTGCATACTGAGATTCTAGGGGCGACGCGCGTGTGTGCCTGACGAGGAAAGACGAAGGGTGGTCTCTGCTCGATCGCTGGTGAACTGGTCATGCCATTACCGCTGGTTTCAAATACATCTAATCCACAGCCTTGTCGATACGGCGTCTCTTCTTTTCCGTATCTATATTGTGGGAGACGCCGTAGTATAGGGCTCCGGAAATTTCGACCTTCTGGTTCTTCCTTTGACGTGCATTGACATCGTACAGCACAGTGGTCTCTATAACTTTTCACTTCCACCTAAATGCATCCGCCGGGGCGAGAATCGAACCCGCGACCTCTGGTGCAGAAGACCAGCACCTTGGCCGCCACACTACCGCGGCGGACGGTATAGGCTTTGAGCGGGTAGAACAATCAGATAAAGATTATCCGGCCGATTAGTGCCTAAATCAAGTGCGAAAATGTTCCAAAAGCCATGTGATGGAGTTCGTGGTTTTAAAGGATTTACTCTAGCTTAACTAACGTATAAGAAAACTGCATAGACGTCTCGCCATCTATGCGGGTGGCATCCTCAGCACACACTGACACCAAAATTTGGTGTCAGTGTGCGCTGAAAATGGCGCCCGCATATATGCTAAGACGTCTATCTAATTTTGTTATATTATTGCAGAGTTAGGTCGAGTGAGTCTAAACCAAGGCAAAAGTGAAGTTCAGCCATTTCCTGTTTATAATAGGTATACTAGTTTTGACTAGGTGGCGTGAGTCGCTGCCCTATCAAGTGGGCACTGCGTTATCCCTGCATCCGTGCATGGCAGCCCAGCTGTGAGACAGTAAGCAAAAGTACTGTTCTGTAATACTGTTCTGGGCATTGAAGAATTCTGCCATATTGGAAAGTTTGACATTGGGAGCATTCGGTTGGCCCAGAGGTCAGCTTCTGCCTCTATCTTATTGGCTATGGTAATTTTCAATCACTGCATATCAGCCAATCCGAGAAGCCGAATTAGCGCTTTGGAACGGATTGGCCGATTCTACGATGTGGTGGACTTGGACGATCTTCAGGGTAACCTAGGGGATTACGTTTCTAAAGCATGTTGAGAATAAAACGTATAAACCATTAGAGGGCATGTCAGTTGTAAGATGCTCAGATTATACGTCTGTGAAGGACTTTCTTTTTGTGGGGAAAGTCAGTGATAGCGAAGGAACAAATGGCTGATTGAGATTGAGAAAGACTTGTCTTCAGTGTGCTTCTTAACGTGTCGCATGGTGTGCATGAAGCAGCGGTGATGCGATAGAACTGCGTGATCTGGCTGCACAAGTATCTTTTACGAGCGCCGTTACATACTCGGACACGTCCAGTCGGCGCCGTTCCATGATTGGTTGTCGGCTAACAGCAAGGAAGCCAAGAATAAACCATTTGAAAGACTGCACTGGGAACAAGCCGAGCTGCCGTTCTTCCGCCGAAGGAATTCCCGCCGGGGGAGGGGGGGTTGCCAACTCGTATCTCGACGCCATACGAACGCAAACAAACTGACTCACCTACATCTATTTGCTTCCCGTTGTTTTGCCAACGAAAAGAAACATGAGATGGACGCTGGGGAAAACACCGAATGCGTTGTGAGCCCACCCCCTGAATAAGAAAAATCTAAATGCGAAACTGCGTCGGTAGAAGCAGACGGCTTATAGACTCAGTGGAGCGTCGGTATCAACATGGCGGCGCCCGCGTCGTTTTATTATCGTCTGCCCCTCGCGCTATTGCCGTTGTCTGCTTGACTTCGTAGTGGCGCATTTGGTGTTCTCCTCCACTCTTTTACTTTGTTATCTCGCGTGCGCTAGTTTTTTGTTCCGCTGAGCTCTTGCCATGCGTCGAGGGCTCCAAGAGAATCCACTATGGCATCGAGGAATGCAGATGCGCGCGGTTCTCAGTCTTTCTTTCGTGTATATAGCACTTTGTCTTCTCACATTTTGTTGATGCTAGCTCCTGCGACACGTGCCTCTTTTTCTCTCCTTGAGCGACAAAATGCCCCCTGACGCGTCTGGGAGGGATGAGTGATGGGTTTTCCCCTGCCGGGACTTGGAGTCGCGGCTGTGCCTTTTTTTTACATAATTTACTTACTTTCTGCATGTTTTTATCTTGACGTCGTAGTGGTGGTTTTCTATCAACGGTGGCGGAGATGTGCGCGTTGTATATATACATGATGCGTTTGCCTAAGCGCTGCGGCAAAGTGATGATCTGCGTCATCATAGACGACAAGCCTTGTGTTCGCTCTCGCCTAGGTGTCGCTGCGTTCGCTAGTGAATGGACTTGATAATTTTTCTCAATTTTCGTTCCGTTTTATCGATCGACAGCAGATTTCCTTGCACCTATCCTGTCGGAAGAGCAAACGTCTCATTACGATAATCTGCATCCTGCTGTGTGCTGTGATGATATTCTGTACAGAATATCATATGCAACATGAATGCTACTTTGTTCTATGCACGTTGCGTTACCAGTTCGGTACACCCTAGAGATTATTATTCTTGAAGACGATGTTACCCCATACCTGTCTCAAGCGTCATCCTCGCTTTGTGAATATTCATTTTTTCAAGCCTACATCATTCTCTTGAGCTTCCGCCATTTTACTTTTGACGCGTCAGTAGAAAAATGGTCGCCCACTGAAGTGCGCCAGAATGGACTCCCGTTCTCTGTACGATTTCTTTTATTGCAATAAAAATGATGTACATGGTTTCTTGTTCTTGTCGTGCCACATTTTCCTCCTCTGCACTGCGTAACCTGTTTCATTTTTCCACGAGCAACAGTGTCTCGATATACTGAAAGAGCCCGCACAGAAGACGTGTAGTAAGAAAGTATACATTTATATCGATCGTGCAAAAACTACATCTCTCGCTTTTATTCGCGATAAAATGGTCGTGAATGCATGAGTGTAAAGCTCAGTTATCATTTATCAATAAATGGTCAAGATGCGATTATTAACCACAGATGTCACGCACACCCAACGTTTAACAACTGCAGTGCGACCCTCTATTAACAAGAAAAATGTACATAAGAGGTAGGTGGATTAATGCATGAGTCAAACAGTGAAGGTGCATATGAAATGAAAGAAAGTAATTACGTAATGGAAGTAGCGTGACACGTGGGAAGCATCGGTAAACAGCGGAGCAATACGTCAATGAACCATTTATGCGAAGCAAAACTTCCCCATTCAGCAACGCGTAGCAAGTTGTGCAAGTGGGAACAAGTCATTCGTTATGGCACCAAAAGCCAACGCGCGAACCAGGACAAATGAAACAAGAAATCACTGGTTCTCTTGCTGGTGGTCCTGTGTCTCGTGTTGAACTAATAAAATAGACACGCTTATGCGAAGGAGAGCGACCGTTGTGTGAGGATTCCCTATTGTGACGTAAATATTCCGACTTAAATTTACAGCAATCAAAGTCGACAAGAAGTGACTCTTTCCGTTTGGGGCATATCCGAACCTTCGGGTAACGCGTCTGATGCTCTACCAACTGAGATATCGCGGCAGCCATCCCCCGTCCACTGTATGGGATATACATGTGCATTTAAACGTTGGAGTGTTAATCAGCGCCACCAGTAGCCATGGCGGCGAGTGTCAAACACTCCTTCCGTGCCTGTTGGCTTGGCGCCACGTATATACAGCACGTGACAATGTAACTTGCTGCCGAATGTGTCCTGTAGCGTTATGCGTCGTGGAGCAGTCCACGTTACTATCGCTTGAATCGTGCGTTAATATCTGTAGGTGCCATGTGGTACTGGCGACCCCAACGCTCTCTTTGCGTTTTGCGCAGGGCGTTGCCTGGAGCTCGGGATGCCGGACATGACGGCGCTCAGCCGCATCGATGAGGACACCATCAACAACAACCTCAGGACACGCTACAGGAAGGACAAGATATACGTATCTTTTTTTTTTCTTACAGTGATGCGGGCAGATTTTTTTTTTTTCATGTGGTTGTGAAGATAAAACTGAGGATAGAAAGGAAGCTTCATAACGACGACGGTCAATGATCGTTAGCGATAACAGAAGCTATAGTAAAAGGAGACGAATTTTTATATGAAAGCCTTTTTAGGATGTCTGAACATAAAAATTTAGTTCTGTCTGTGTGTTAAGCACTTGCTGAACGCCCAGTCATCTTGAACTGGTGGCTGCGTTCATACTATAGCGAACATTGTCGATCGAAAATCAAATTATATGCATGTCTGATGTGCAAAATTAATACTATTAAGTGGTGTGTTCCTTTGATATAGAGATTACGTAGATGCGTAATTCTAAAGACCCTAGTGTTTCTTAGGCTGCAATGAAAATGCGACGCTATGCACGAAAGAAGGTCGGCGGAAGACTACCGTCTTTATTTTTTTGTCGTTGCTTTGCGTGACCACGTGACATGGCTGCCTCTCTCGCTTGATTGTTCAGTCTTAAATTAAGGCTGGTGAACCTGGGCTGATATTCTGGACTATCATCTATATGAGGCGCCAAACCTAGCCCTCTACTCAGTCGGTTTCAGAAATCGATGAAAGTTTGTGGCTAGCAAAGGCCTATATTGATGTCCACAATGTCGTTACTTTTCCAGGGGTGTTACAGAATAATCTTTAGAGTACGCGAAAAATGAAATTTATGTCTTGCTCCGTCCACGCGAGGGCGCCAGAAATGACGCTATAAGCATACGTTTCCTTAATTCCTTTAGGGAGCCGGCGGTAAGTTCCCGCCGCTCACTGGTCCGAACCGCGAGAGCGCTGTTGGTGACAGTCTCAAGCGAGTATAGCGAACATGAAAGTTTTGCTGTTGGATCTTTTTATTTCGAGTAAGGACAAACACTGACAATATGGCGAGTTGGTGTCTTTTCGTATACTTTGTTGCCCCGTTCTAAATCCCTGTAACGACAGACGAGCGCTGGCGTGAATAAGAGTCTCCTGTATCTTATATGTCGAGTTACAGTCGCCTCCTTGACCAACTCGACACGTGCTGTTGCCGGAGCTAATCCGGGAGGCCACGCTTCAGCAGTGCTGACGTTGCTGATAACGCGGCATGCCGAGAATGACGTCACCACGTCCGCTCAGCGTCTCAATAAGCCCTGCTATGGTGGCTAGCCACCGTAGCCCTGCGACCACAGCATTTGTTTTTGCAAAGTGCTGTTCGCATTCACTTTTGAGAACTCTCACATCGATTTTCGAATTCGGCAGCTACAGATCAAACTGTATTTACACTCTATAAAGTATCTTCTTAACGTGCTTCAGCTTCCGTGGCGGCGTTTGATGGTAAGGGTGGCCCAAATATTGTTGATATTAGAAGAACTGCTCACACCAAACCTTTTATTCCGCTCCCTCACCACCACCAATGCGTAATGAGACGCCATCGTGCGGAGTGTATCGTTGTTTCATTTTTAATTTGACATCCATTTCAAAGCTTAATTCCTTCTGGGCTCGACCAAATATTAAGGAGAAACGCTGCGGTGAAGCTTGGCTGAGGGCACCGTGATGCTACCGCCGAGGTTAGGTCCGACCTAAGGTTATGTCATAGCAGGGTCCTTATATAGCTTGGCCAGCTAATGAAGAACCCTATGCACGCATGTGTTGCCTTACACGGCCACCCTCACAAGTGCGATGAAGCAGAACTGAGTGATCATTGTTTTTAGCCATTCCATGATCGACTTTAATGCGCCCGCATGTACGCCGTTTTGCCGGTTGACACACCGCCCCGACACAAGGACGAAAAATAAAACCTTAAAGTGCTCATCATCAGAACAGAAACTTATCTGTTTCGTCTTGTTTCTCTCTGCAATAGCTTCGTATGTTTTTTTGGTTTATTATGTTCCGATATGGAGGACATATATCCCTTTTGCATTTCCGGCCTCCCGGTCTGATTTGTGCCGCCTCCGCGCGCTTCCTGCGTCGCACACGCGCAGGGAACTTCCGGCCGGAAGTGACGTGCCGCGCCCTCTGCCGACCAACGCCGCGAGCGCATACTGCGCGGCCGCTGTCGTAATTTTTCCGAGGCGTTCGAGCGTGCACAGTCGAGGAGCCTTCGTTCCTTTCTTGAGGCAAACTATTGCGGCACGTATACGATCGCGTCACGTGCAGTTCGGCTTGCGACTGAGACTTCTTTACGTAAATATTTGTATGCATTACATTTAGCACCACACCTTCCTAGGCTATCGGTAATCTTTCTGTTAAACCTCCATCATTCCAAATATGAACAGTAAATGTTGAAACCACTCGATTCTTGGCCAATCCCCCACAGTGGGTATGCGCCACTAACAATAGGAAAACAACAACAACAACAACAACTTGGAACGAACAGACCGTGCCGGTTTTGACGGAACTGGATTTGCGTTGGGCAACCGAGATTATCCGAATGTTTCGTCGCTCAGCGTTTCGCTCTAGTTGACCGAGCAACCTTCACTGGGGCTCTTTCTTGCAAGGGCTGTCCGCTGCGGTGGTGTGGCTGTTGGGGTGCTGGGCTGCTGACCCGGAGGTCGCGGGTTTGATTCCGGGCCGCGGCGGTCGCATTTCGATGGAGGTGAAATGGTGGAGGCCCGTGTTCTGTGCGTTGTCGGTGTGCGTTAAAGCACAGAAAATAGTCGAAATTTCCGGAGCATTTCTTCACTATGGCATCTCTCATAATCATACGGTGGTTTTGGGACGTTTAAACCTCCTCAGATATTATTATTATTATTATTATTATTATTATTATTATTATTATTATTATTATTATTATTATTATTATTATTATTATTATTATTATTTATTAATATTATTATTATTATTATTATTATTATTATTATTATTATTATTATTATTATTATTATTATTATTATTATTATTATTATTTCTTGGAAGCGTTTGGTTCCGGCTTGTGTCGATGCTGAGATAGATAGATAGATAGATAGATAGATAGATAGATAGATAGATAGATAGATAGATAGATAGATAGATAGATAGATAGATGTCTTCATTCATGATTCATCTGTTACCGTAGTAAGGACGTTCGCCACGAAACATCTTTAATCAGGGGCAAGACTATTGCGTACATAAGTATAGCTCAGGAGCAACAGAGACTTTGTTTAGGCTTGAAGAGACATTTGATTGATTGATTGATTGATTGATTGATATGTGGGGTCTAACGTCCCGAAACCACCATATGATTTTGAGGGACGCCACAGTGGAGGGCGCCGGAAATTTCTACCAACAGAGGTTTTTTAACGTGCGCCCAAATCTGAGCACACAGGGCTACAGCGTTTTCGCCTTCATTGAAAATGCAGTGGCCGCAGCCGGGATTCGATCCCGCGACCTGCGCGTCAGCAGTGGCGCTCGAAGACGCACTTCGATCAAATGAGAACGGAAAGTGACGTTCCGCGTGAATCTTGGCGTCGTTCTTCGTCTCCATTGGATTTGATTTCTTCACTGTTTGCCTGTACGAACCGAACCGATAACGCCAAACGATTAGCGAACGCCCAGCGATTAATACATCACCCCATCATCCCCCCTAAAAAAATGTTAACATTCCTCCTCCTAAGTTATTCCACGCAAACATCCCTCTTCCCTTTTCACACCCGTGTGCCCCCCCCCCCCTTCCTTAAGTCCGGTCCTCCTCCAAATTGAAATTCTGGATAAAACACTGAATGTACATGTTTTCGTACTTTTAGCGTCACGTGGTACCAAGGAAGCCACGCCCTGATCACGTGACGGCTCTGTACCTGAGGCAAGGCTTCTGCCCCTGACGCGTTCGTTGGGAGTGAGTGGTGCACGTGCCTCCGCCAGTCGATGGCGGGAGCGGTGTGTTATTTTCGGTCAGAGCCCGATCGTTACGGCGGGCTGCTTTCCTCGGCTTCTTTCGTCGATGACTCCTTGAAATGGCACTGCCGGTCGGTCGGTATAATGACTCGAGCGCACCAAGTCACTGCCTATACTAATAGTAACACAAACTGCCCAGCCAACCTACAGTCCAAAGTTTCTAATTAGATAAAACTTGAAGACGGTAAACTGACCCGACGTTTCGGGACCGATTCGGTCCCTTCTTCAGGGGTGACTGTTCGGCCGGCACCGCAGGTAGCGATTTTTCTTGTCGGTGTTGCCTTCTCCATCGCCCTTCTTTTCGTCGTTGTTTCTTCGGTGTTTTTTTTTTTCGACTGTCTTTGCAGCCCGTGCACGTATACACTGGGTAAGGTTCTAGTTGAGCGATTAACATCTCCAGATGTCTTTCGGATATAACCAGGACTCTAAGAACTGTCTTTTTCTGTGGCTGTCCTCCGTGTCGATGACGAGGGCGTCGTCGAAATTGATGCACCACCGCATCTGAGGAACCAGAAGCACCGAGGAGCCTCTACTGATTCAAATCTTATGGAAACGAAGTTGGAGAAACGTCGCTTGTTGGAACACCCGAAAAAACATTTAAAAATGTCTTTTATGCAAACATTGATCCTTGACGAAACTCCCCTAGAGTACAGACTTGCAGAGACATCTTAGACAAAAAGAATACCTGTACTTTTGTGCCAACATGCCTAACACTAAAGGAAATATTCCGTAAGCCTTTAAAAACATCTGTTCAGAAATATCCCCAAATAGAAACAGCCTCTTAACCTCGAAGCCGTCCCCAAGCAAACTGAGACGTCCCCGAAACAGTTATAAACATGTTTTACGAAAGCAATTTCTATGCTTATCCTCCTCTACTCACTAGCATACAGACGTACAGGTGCGTCTTACATAGAAAAATTCTTGTGCAAACGCATCCTGTGGAATTATTCCTAAGTACCAAAGGAAATGTCTCGAACGCTTTTTTAAAAAAAATCACCCATTTAGAAATATCCCCAAAATGTAACACCTTCTAAATTTAAAATCTAGCCTTCAGCTTATATGACTACCTGGAAAAAAAAAAACGTATGGGAACGTATTTTATTGAAG